CTCTTCACAGACAAATTCGAGCTGGTACCAGCGGGGAAGGGCTTTATAGGTGAGAGTGATCAACCACTAAAAATTTTACTAGGGTGTTTTACAGACTCTGCCTCACTGATTACTTCGAAGTCAGGATAAGATGGTTTTTCAGTTGTTGCGAAAACAGCAACAGAAAACAATAAATAAAACAAAACAAAAGCAAAACAAAACATGAAGAATGTCTTTTTTAAAAGTTATTTCCAGTATTGATGCATTTCTCCTGGACATCCTGGCTTCAGTCTATCCAGGAGATGATTCCTATAAGGTGACCGACATCAAGTTGTACCTTGGAGCTTCTCTACAAACTGACAAGATTTATCTTGCACTCACTTGTGCTGCCTTGACTAAACAAGTAAAGTGAGATTATGGGTTCTGCTTTACAGGTATAAGTGAAAATTAATTTTGTTGAAGCCAAAGATGGTCAAGTTTGAAGAAGTGGTGACTGACACAGCAGAGAAAATGTGTAAAAGCCTTTTATTTTTCCTGTTATGGGTTGATCTAATATATCTCTGCCCAGACCATGTCCTGTCATTGCGGCTACAAGTACTTTTATAATTCTGTTCTTAAGAAATATCAATGGAGTGTCTCTGAACATACTATTGAGTACTGTAATTGGGAACAGAATATTCTCTTTTGACACAGGATTGGGAAACAGCAACTTCTTCCTCCACAGCTTCTGAGAGAGACAGAAAAAAAAAAAAAAATATGCTTTTTCACAACTTCCTCCCTACACTGATCTGATTCTCTTCCTTATTAGTGATAGCCTCTTTCCATTACAAAGACCTATCTTCCAGTGATTACATACAGTATATTTCACATCTGCTACTGCCAGAACAGCTTAAAATGGCATATGACAGAGTGCATGACAAAAGAAATCTGACAGAATCTCTCCATCACTGAAGAGTCAGCCAGGGCATCAAACATCGTCATGGTCAAAATCTTCAGTCACCAGCTGTAAGTGCAATAAGCCGAGAAATGTTTTGGAAACAACATTAATCCTGGTAGAAGTGGTTGAATAAACCCTGCTTGGGTTTTCCTTTGCAGAAGAGTTGAGAAGTGACAATAACAGAGAGTCTGCTTTCAAGAAGAAATAATGCATGATTAGTTAAACTCATGGAAAAAATAAAGAGGGATTTGCAATTATTTTAAAATATCGGAGAGAAGTGACTTTAACAAATAAATTACAAAGATATAACTTACCCCTAACAACTCAAAATTAGTTTTGTTTACTACTTAATTTGGTCTTAGTTCTTATATTGAAAACTTGTTTTATTTTCCTGAGTTCATTTATAATTCTTGCTTCTACAGAAAAATCAAGTATACAAAATCTCCCATTTCCCTTCAATAACTATATTCTTTAGTGTTAATTCTCACTATTGTCCATCCACAATAGTGGATACCAGAATGTAGTATTGCTTACCACACAAACAGGCAAGAAACCCCTTGGAAATAAATGTAATTTTATGGTATTTCTTCCAGACCACAAGAAATGGGTAAAATAATTACTTCATGATAATGAATTTCTCTCTCTAAATGTGATCAAGAGGAAGATTTCACCCTTCTTCAGCTAGAACAAATGATAAAAGATTTTTATTTCATTTTGACTCCTAAAAAAGGGTGTTTCTAGGACCAGGAGATTATGACTTAAGTTTCCTTTGAGAAAAGAAATGGAAGACCATTATTAAAAATCACTGTTACATGTGTGTTTGAGGGGAAGAAAAGCCTTTCTTAAGTCCAGCTCTTCATTCCTAACTTGGTTATGATAGCTGAATCTAACCTAGTACTTACATGCTGGCACATGTCCTGTTTCTGATACTTATTTTTTTCCTGATAAATAACAATATACAGATTAACTTCATCAAAATAAATCTCTATATAGACCTTCCAATGGGAAAAAGCATTTTTCTCTATTACAATTAATCTTTGATCAAACATTTGTACCTGTCTTGCCCAGATAGCTATTAAAATCATATTATTTTCCTTTCTTATTCTAAGCTGCATTTAAACTATACAATATAGTTTCCCCTTCATATTTATCTCAGCTTCCCTTTAAATCATTTAAATTTTGTCTTTCCCCTCCTCCCAAAGCTACATTTTATTGGCATTTAATTCAAGAAAATTGACACATCACTATTACTGTGGTGTAACAAAATGCAGCCCTTTGATAGCAAACACTTTCATGTCCCATTTACCCATATCCTCCTAGGTGTTTGTTATAGCAACATTGGATATTATCTAATAGAGTTGATTCGTTGCAGAGTAACTATACTTTGAATAACTGGCACCAATCCCAACGAGTTGGCAGTGGTGCCACTCCAGTGCTGAGCTGATCACAGTAAAGGATGATGTGGATGGCATGAGGACACCTCTCTAGAGCAGATTTCTATGACCATGATACCATCACAAAAACAAGTAGTTCATAGAGCCCAAGCAGATGAAAGCAAACAATATGCAGCCTCCCTCCTCTTCTGCCAGCCCTTCCCCATCAGCAAAAAAAAATAAAGATAAAACATGTTGCTCTTTGGCGGCTTTTTGTGGTTCTTAACGGCTTATCTGCTCTTTGAGCATATTCTGCACGCCTATAGAAGGGCAGAAGCAGCTTAAGCAAAATGAGCAATATGGATGCCTGTCACTTCTTTTCCACAGTGACTCCTCCATTTCACAGATATAATGTTAGGGCTACAGCATCTTTCTTATGTGATTTCAAGCATCTTCAAAGATAGACACGACCACCTTCATGCAGAAGTTGTCCTTTTCTCTTCCTTTACAACATGATCTTATAGAAAAAGGTGTTAGGGTCTTTTTGCTAGCTTAGATTCCCTTTTCACCTGACATCAGATTTTTAAGTGACTAAAGGAAGAATATGATGCACACACAAAACAAACTTCTGTGGAGATTTCAAATTTTACAAATACTTCGTGTTAAAAAAACCCCACCACATTCCAAAAACCCCTAAGACCACCCACCAACTGCACCACACTAACATGAAACACCAGTTTGCTATTGAAGGTCAAAATCAAGTCAGACCACATACTGATAAAATCTTTATTAATAAAAATATATTAGAATAAAAAGCACTGTACACATAACAAGTCAGTTTAAATACCCTTGAAATAAATTTTCAGAATTGTGTTCCTTTCTATTGCCATCTGCCACACATCTATTGCCTCCACCAAGACTGTAAGCACCCTGAAGCATCCACTTGATACGCTTTGGAGTTATGCATAACCATGACAACCATTAAGCTTTAATAAAAAATATGTTGCCTACATTAATGTTTGCTGTTGTTAGCTCATCCGGTGATGGACAAACATCAGGAAGGTTTACTGGTATCTGTGCAACTTTTTATCTACTAATTGATAGAAATTTTATCATCCAGCCAAATACTTGTTATTTTCCATAACCTCTGATGCATTTCAGTCATATGTGGTAGAATAAACAAACAATCTGATGTACTAATTAGCTTCATTTGATCTTCAGCATTGCAATGTTACAGTGTCTTTCAAGAGCACAAAACACGACAAAGGTAGACTTGGATATTAACATTAATGTGATTAGAGCAGAACATTTTGCCAGATCTAGCACATAACTAAGCTGACAGACAGCAGAACATCGATAGCATTAGTCACTTAAGAGCAAGGAACTCTTTAAGCCACAAACAACACCACAGCAGATGAGAGAAATTTAAAGAGCTAGAAGTATCAACTCTGGTTAAAGGTGCTCTGCTGCCTGTAAAATGTCAGTGTCCATTAGGTTTACTGTTTTCTAGTCCATCTGCTCTATTCTGCTTTCAAATACCAGCATGTCTAGATATGAATGAAAGTTGTACCTGGGTATTTGAGGTTGGGAACTATACACCCTGCTTGATCATAGAAACCAAACTGATTACTGTTTCTTCATGCAAATGGGCTTTCTAAAAGCAAAGCTATTGACAAGTACTCTTGAAAGCTTATTCCCTGTAATGGGTACACAAATACCTGATAGAAGACATGCACCATATAGCAGTCCTACTCTGGACTACAGATCTGAATCTTGTTTACATCAGTGTGACAGCCTATAGAGCTAGTATCTTATAGGTAACTTAACTGAATCTCTTATTGAAAAGTCATTCAACACACATGCTTCTCCTAAGCCTACAGTATCTTACTTTTACTCTCATTTTTCTCTAATTATTCAAGTATGTCATCAGGATATTTAATCCTGGTAACTTCCATTAGAGAGACATCACAAATTATGGCAACTCAGGTAGGCCATGGACATGTCCATCAGCAATATCACTTAAGCTAGGACAAGTATTTCAAAAACACACATTTCCACTCTCCTAAAGGTTTTGTTTTCTTCTTGCAACTGAACCCAGACGTTAGGAAGATCCCAAACCTCTTGACAAAACAAGTCTGTGCATAGCATCTCAGTCAGTAAAGCCATCATGCTGTCCTTTTCAACTGTTGGTACTGCAGAAATACATATAAAAAGGTTATGAGTAGAATTTTCATTGTATTTTCCTCAAAGATATTTATCTGCTTAAGTATTTTTGAATGCATGCATATCAGCTTTTCAACATACAGTAAAATGGATAAACTGTACAAATGGGTGTGCAAGTTCTATAGGGAAATGATTAAATAAATATCACCATAAATGTGAAACAGAAATAGACACTAACATCTCGATAATGTGAAGTAGCATATGAGTTCATTTATTAACATGAAAACATGGAAAGCTTTTATAGCCTTACACTTGGGGTGTCTTTTATTTAAGTCATCAAAATAGCATTGCACCCCCCAGATGGTTTTAGCTGATTATGGCTTGTTTAGTAACACTTTTACCAAAAGGAAAATGGAACAAGTTAATCCCCACCACTGTAAAAACAGGACTCACCTGCTTGCTGATAGTGTTTTTCTGCCAACAGTTGGTGGAGATGATTCACTATGGAAAAAGCTTTTTATCCACCAATATTTATCAATTACCTCAGGTAACCCTGCCAAAGGATGAAAAGCCCACATCATTAGACACTGGCTGAGTAAGAAACAGGCAAAACTGAAGATTTGTTTCAAAGAAGGGAACAATACCATGAAATGCTTTGTTCTGGTCTGTAATGTTCACAGCATCTGAACAGCAGGAGGAGCTGGAAGAAACACTGGATTCCGAGTTCAGTCTTCCTGTCCATGGAAAACAGAGACACATATAATGCAAAAAAATGTTTTGAGAGTGTACACTATTTCTATGTCAAGAGTTTTCCAGACATGCTGCTATCTTAGAGGAAACAAGCTTACTGAGCTACCAAGTATAACTTCTATATTGTATACTCCATTCTGCTATAGTTGTTTTTATAAGAACTTTTATATCAGTTGATCTCTCGGTCTACTTACTCTTCACTTAAAAGCATACTGAGATCTGTCGGCATAGCTTTCACTGAAATCATTGACAAAACTTACGATCGTATACACATTGCTATCAAAACAAGCAAGTCTATACTGAACATTCAGGTCCAAAACAACCGAATTGCTATGCTTTCCATGGCAATACAACTAAATGCTATACTCATATTGGCATCCATTCTGTACAGAGGAATCCTAATACACCAGATGTACTCTCAAACCAGTGACTGTTTTACATATTTAGGAACAAAAATATGAATTGATTTTGTGTTGTTTCTATAACTGAAAAGTAAATATGAAGCACAGATAGAAGCCAAGACTTGCTTTTGATTTTTCTAGGTCCTGTATTATAATTCTAAAATAAAAATAGATTAGCCTAATGAGTAACTCTAAATAGGAAAGAAAGGAGTAGATGAATAGCCAGAAACAGATGGTCATTAAAACTGAAGTTCCTTGATATGAAAAACTCTCAAAGAACTTAAAAACTACCAGGCAAAGACATCACTTTGCCTTCAGCTCATCTAGACATCACCTGAAACACCTTCTGCCTTTTCCTGAGTGACAACAATCCGGACATGTCCTGGGAGGAGGGTGGATTGGGTCAGCCTCCCTCCTCCAGAGGAGCATCCCCGGCTGGGCAAAGGAGCCGGGGTGGGATGGGTGGAACGGTGAGCGTTTGGGGACGACATGCAGCTGAACACTCACTTCTGTAGTACTGGTTTTTGGCCAGGAGACAGCCAGCGGAGGGCACAGAGGCCATGGCAGCAGCGCGGCGAGGAATGAACCTCTCTCGGGGAGCCTAGGGAAGGAAGGAAGGACGCGCTGCAGCGGGAGCAGCCGCGCCCGGTCAGCCGCGCCCGGTGCAGGGATAGCTCCGCGGCCCCGTGCCGGGCTCACCTGTGTCCCCTGGGGAGAGCTGATGCCGAGCAGCAGCCGCGGGACAGC